ACTCTGGATTTCTCAAGCAGGTATGTTCTCATGTTAGCTCCAATGATTTGGTAACGCTGATCAAAACTGATTTCAGTGTATTTGCCAAATCGACTGCTGTTGTCATTCCGTGTGGTTTTTGCATTGCCAACAGCCTACAGAAGTGATAAACTTTTACCATTTGGTTTACTTGCTTCTCTCACAAGAGCAATTTTGTCAAAATATGACTCAACTACAATTTTTGAGATCAAAGATGCTCAAGGATCAATCTAGGCACTGAGCTGTGTTACTTAGAATTTGAGACCCAAAACTGAAGACAAGCCTCAAGTCAAGCAGTATAGTGCTACATAAGCTGAGAATTAGAGAAAATATGTTTTGCCACCATAAGGAACTTCAACCAGTTTCTATTCCAGTTAATAAGCAAGCAAACAAACAACTTGTTCAATATTGTTTTCTCATCATCTAAGTAACAGTAGGTGGTCAGACAACACTCTGGGGGCAAACTAGTGCCACTGGTAAGTCAGGCAGGACCTGGATGTCCCTGAAGCTGACTGCCTCTTCCCATCAGTAACATTCAGAGCTTACACTTCAAATTTAGGTATCTGATTCAGGCAGCTAAAACATCCTTAAAGATTTCAAAGAAAGATTCCAGCAGCTCTGAGAAGTCCTTCATTGATGAGTATGGGCTTGACAGACACTCTCTGGAACTTACCTCAGTTATTGGGTTGGATGCCAATACTTTATCCTCCACATGTGCATTGCTGCTTGACTTACTCACAGTGGCAAAGTATCTCATGGTGTATCTTGCAGACACAGTCTTTCCCGCTCCTGATTCTCCACTGACTATAATAGACTGATTTTTGTTATTTCTAAAACCAAATAATCAGACAGTTTAAATCAGACATGTCTAAAATGAATGGTTAAACATAGAAATTATACATATGAAACAAATGTTTGAAATCACAGCTGTGATCAATTCTTATATATCAGTTCCATCTTTCATCTACTCTTCCCTTACTCCTCTTCAGTTGTAACCTCTAGGTTGAAGTTATTGCTATGCACTGAGCTAAGTCAGTGTTTTATCCCTCATCAAGAACAAAAATAGTTATGAGTTCTAGATATTCCTCAGCTGGTTAAGGAATTCCTGGTGGCACATACACTATTAAATTAAATGACAATTGACACTGACTGCCACTAGATTTCAAGTGTTATTTATGGACATTAAACAACATACTTAACCTTGCCATTTGCTTGTATGCTTCTTCTGCCACAGCAAATATATGTGGATCCATGTCCCCCATGTTTTGCCCACTGTATGCATGGATAATGGCATCTCCATATATTGGCAACTGTTTATAGGGGTTGATTGCAACCAAAATGATTCCTACAACCAAGAGTACAAAACAGAATTAAGACACAGCTTAGTTAAATAAATGCCTGGTTCGGGCAACAACAGTTAAATGATACAAATAAACTATTTCCTAAACTGGGTAGGAGATACTGATCAACAACAAGTCTATACTCATATATAAAACCAACTAACGTGAGTTAAAATACACTTAAGGAAAACATTACTCACATCATATTGCAAACTATGCCATGGGTTTTTTTTTCTTATTTTAAGATCTTTTAATGTCATATTGCAAACTATGCCATGGTGTTTTTTTTCTTATTTTAAGATCTTTTAAAAGCCTTGCATTTTACTGTGCTTACCACTATATGTGTAGATAAGCCTAGACTCCACAAAACGAACTTTAAGGTTGTGTAAAACTGCTGGTTCGTGGAGGTAACTGAGAGCAGTGAGATCATTTTCACCAACAAGTATGTCAGGATTTCGAAGGGGTGGCAAAGCAGATGGATCAACAGGGTAGTTCAGCTCCTGTCAACAAAAATTACTTGAAATACCATGAAATGCATTATGTTTGCATAAACAGAAACTCATCTTCAACATTTACACAAAATTCAGCTCCTGTCAACAAAAGTTACTTGAAATACTATGAAATGCATTATGTTTGCATAAAGAGAAACTCATCTTCAACATTTACACAAAGTTAGAGTTGATGGAGCTCTGTCTGACTTTCTGTTTCATCAATTCCATACATCCCACTGAACCTGGGGGACATGGAGATCACGAACCTAAGATGAAGCTTTGTTGCTTATGAAAAAGAAAGCTACATTCTCTTTATTTACAGTATTTTGCATTGAAATCTGTAAAAATGGGAAATGTTTAGCTCTCTGAACTCATGTATATTTCAGGTACAAATGAAAACAGACCAGCTGCAACTGAAAGTCGAAACACCTGGTCAAAACTTAAGTCAACTCTATCCTTACTTGCAACTTTTCGGTTTTTTTTTACACAAAGTTTAAAACTCACTTTGTTTCTTTCAACAAATCCATTTAGTCACAGATTTAATACTTGTCTTTACAGAACAGAATTGCAGAAGTACAGAAATACTGTTTTCAAAACATTGAATCTGTAAAGAACTCAGATGCTAAAATTAACAGATCTTGCATAAAGCAACAACTTTAGGGGGAAAAAAGCAACAGCTAGCTTTGTGAGAGATAACAGTGCCTGCCTTGCACTTCTGGTTTGCTTCAATTTAGGAGGAGTTTCAGGGTTTGTTTCAACAGTGATCTTCAAGGTATGTGTTCTATACTAATGTTATCCATATAGTAGAATTACACACCTCCTATTTTTGGGTAGCAGCTGTTTGCTGTACAAATTTCAATATGATAAAAAAAGAAAATATGGACATGTTATTTAGATCCCAGAATGGTGAGTCCTGTGTTTCTACATAAACACATCTCAGCAAACCCCACAATAATTCAGGCTTTTGTCCTTACAGTTCCATCTTCTAATTGCACATGAAGAAAACGTTCTCCAGCTTTGTAGTCTTTTGTGATTTCTGCAGACTGCCAAACTTCTTCATTATCAGGGATCCAAACCCTATTGTACTACAACAGAAAAACAAGATAAAAGTTAGCTTAGCTATTATCATAATACCAGACTAGCATGAAAAAGTACTTTTCAAACATCAAGTACAACCTAAAAGCTGCACTGGATGCCAGGACTCTCTTGGGATGATTATTTCCTCTGTACAGCAGAGTGTAATTTTGTATTTTAGTTATTTTTCAGGGAAGAAAAGAAAATTGAGAGCAGAGTCATTAATGTCAGACATGTATGTTCTGCTACTGTTCAGTGTAAAGTCTGCAGAACAGCACAGCGTGAACAAGGGCTAGGCTGTTGCCTGGCTCTTCAGGTCCTCTAATCCTGAGCAAAGAGTAAAATACACTTAAGGCAGAGCCTTGATTTCTAGGAGATTTCAAATGAGCAAGTACCAGAGAAAGCATCTTGTTTACCAGAACTTAGACAATCACTTCCCTGAATTCAAGCAAAGGACATTGAATTTAGAATGCATTTTGCCATAGGCACATTGCCATACCTAAGAAAGACTCTGCACAGTTACCTTTCTTTTAATAGGACTCAAGTGCAACCTCCAAACATCTTTTCTAGGACAAACTTCAAAGACTACTGGCAGGTTTCTTTCTTTACAAGCAATCAGCTGGCTTAGCTACCCAGCAAGGTACTTGAGCTCTGCCTCAGGAAGAAAACACCCTCCCTAAAGGCACTTATTTCCAATGGAAGCAGATGAATTCTAAATTTCTTTTACATATTCGAAGAGTTGAGACAACAGAATCACCTCTAATCTTCTGAAACATGAATGTTTGAATGTAAATTATGCTGTTAGAACCATCTAGATCTCCTATGCTGAAGTTACAGTGCTGAAGCATAAGTAACCTCTTTAAATGCTCTGCCTCAGATACCATCGGAAACAGCATTCCTTAAAAGGACATAACACAGCTGGAAACCTCAGTAAGTAGGGAATTACTTCACTGATATAAGTGTGTCCTTCTCATCGTGCTAGGGTTTGATAAAGCAACATCCATTCCTACTTACACAAGCAACCATGACATATAATCTTTCAGCATCTCTCTGTTTTGATAGCCAAACCTCTTCATTTAATCCCCTTACCCTAGCTGTATTCATGATCAATTTAAATCAACTGTTTAAACAGTTTAAACCCATGAGAACTGCTGCAGATGCTTACTTGAAAAATTAACATTAGTCAAGGACTTCATGGAGTGTTAGGAGACCCACAGATAACTTGGAGACATATATATTCTCATTTTGGTGCTGCAACTGTTGGTTTTGGCACAAATGTTTTCCTCTCTAATTTGGAAGAAGTCCTGGAAGCTCCAGTGGATCCTCAGAGCATGAGGGTCTCTGCCCCAAGAACCCCACTGAACAGTGGTGGGTGCCTACAGAGGTCTCTGAAAACTGCATTGCACAACTGTAGTTTTCTTAATTCTAATCCACAAGGATCAAACCAAACAATTTAGGGTAAGAGAGACTTTTGCAGTGGCGTCCTGTGAGTTAGCTCGTGTTGCTCAGTGACTTCTCCAGTTGAGTTTTCAGTATCTCTAAGGACAGAGATTGAGCCTTCTAGTCAGCTACAAGCCACACTGCTATGCACGTCAGGTGATGAACACCAATTGAAACCTCAGCCCCTTCCATGCTACCTCTTTGCTGATGCTTTCAGCATGATTTCATTATTTCCATGCCATATCCAAAATTGCCTTTTATAAACAACCCCAAACCAATATGATGACAATGTTTTGATCCATCTGACCAGAGACACAAAAGCCCAGCTTCACAAGTATCTATTACTTTTGAGTTTCTATGTGTATCTAAGTATAAATTGTCTTTTGTGTCATTCCTACATTTGTTGATTTCCAGCCTTTAAAAAATGCTTGTTAAATTGAACTTTTTATTTGCTTTTATTCTATGAAAGTTAGACTATCACCACCAAGTAACCTCAGGGGCACACAGTGTGTTCCTGTGCAAGAAAGTTAACTGCACTAGGTCACAGATGAGAGATGGAGGAAAAAGCATGAGATAAAAGCACTGATTCTAAAGAAATCCACTGGCAAAATGCACACAGCCTGCAAAGCTGGCTGTCTCCTAACCCTGCCTCACAGGTAAACAGAAGGGAGTTTGCTCATTCCCGTGTCGGGTTACACCCGCTCCTTCCTCCCTTCACCAGCCTGACATAATCCCTGTGAAAATCCCCTTTTTTTCTTCCAGCGGCTCCGAGTGTGGCACCAACAGCACGAAGGAGCAGCGCTGCAGCCCCAGGCTCAACGGGAGCTTCTTCCAGCAGCTGCTGCTGCGATCCAAGAGACACAGAATTATAAATCACTAACATATCCATGTTGGGCTTGATATTTGAAGCTAGGCAAACAAATTATACGTCACAGCACTCTGGTGACTACAGGTAAAGTGGGAAAAGTTGTGCAAAAATTTCAGCAGGTGCATTAAGGAGGAGGAAGAATTTTTGGTTTAGGGCCAAGTTCTGCCACACGCATTCAATATTTACCCAACAAGAAGCACAGCACTCGGCAACTGAAGTGGCATGGAAAGGGGCGTTAAGCCTTAAAATCACCTAATCGCTGGCTAGCACAGCACAGACCTACTCCTGGAGGCCACGAGACTCCATGAAGGAATATTTCTCTCAAAAAGAAGTATTTCCCCAGGGTGCCCTGGGACCTCGCAGCCACT